AGCAAAAATATGGCTGTTCTGCAAGCAGATGAACAGAACGGACCCACGGGGGGAGAAACTGGAAAGCCTCCACACATTCTCAAGCGAGCCAGTCAGCTTTAACACCTTGGCAGACGGACAAGAGCAAAACTAATTGCAAAACAGACCTTAGACAGAGGCACAATCAATTACGCCGTCTGTGACGTCTGGCTGCTTCTGCTCGTATGTGTTTCTGAATGAAGGAAGTGTGAAGTCTGCAAAGTAGAATAATTCATGGTTGAAAGGGAGTAGCTCACTGCTATCTGTAATGGGAAGTGCGTCTATCTGAATGCATCACTCACTGGATGGATGCCACAGAGCCACTCATTGGCAAAATCACTTGAATAGGGACACAAAACAGTTCGGGTTTGATTCATGGCTGTTTCTGCATTCATTCTGGAAGCACAACCATAAAAGGCTTGTGTGTGGAGTTAATATCCACAGTATTTCTGTGGAAAAGCAATGTCATTTGTGACTGTCATCAGATGAATGAGCAGGAATCAGTCAGGCAGGCACTGAACCAAACAGTGCAAGGCTTGACAATCTCCCTCCTCCTCTCTCTTCCTCCTTTCCTCTGACCTGGTTCCAAAGCCACAGTCAACATGATGGAACTGGGGTTTCTGAAACAGGAAGGTGGAAAGAAAAAGGCTGACTTGACTATGACACCCCCAGCATGTCCACTGTCCCGCTGCTGGATGGTCTTCAGAGTGTCGCCCCCCCCAGTGCATCTGTTGAGGTTCGACGCCATAAACCCAATAACGATAGTGATGATCTTAACAGACCTTTTCTGGGCCATCTGTCACAGAAGGAACAAAAGTCCGCCACTGTCCCCTGGGAGCCCAACACACAAAACATTTGCTAGGAACAGCCTCTAAAAGTACAGCAGCACTTTTTAGCTACACTACCACTATCCACTCAAATACATAAACGTATTGTTAATGCGGTGATGTAATAGGTCTATAAAAGTTTAGTCCATCTAAACAAGTCTGATTTTAAAGCAAGGATGCATTAAACTGATTAAAAGTGACAGTAAAGACTTTCCTAATGTTTCTATTTTCTAATAGATTTCTATTTCAAATAAATGTTCTGTTCTTTTGAACTTCTGAAATACATGTATTATGGTTTACACAAAAATATTAAGCAGCACAACTGTTTTCAACACTGATCATAATAAGAAATGTTTCTTGAGCACCAAATCAGCATATTAGAATGATTTCTGAAGGATCATGTGACACTGAAGACTGAAGTAATGGCTGCTGAAAATTCAGCATTGCCATCACAAGAATAAAAATGATAAGAAAACAGTTATTTGAAATCGTAATAATATCAGTGTTTTTATTGTACTTTTAATCAAATAAATGCAGCCCTGGTGAGCACAAGAGACTTCTTTAAAAATGTTTAAAAACTAATCCTAAACTTTTCAATAGCAGTGTACATAAAACCCCCCCACCAAGAAACACCAAATTTAACGCATAAGTTGTTAGTAAATTAAAAGTACTCTGTAATTAAAACACTCTTTCCACAACGGCGGTGCACTGCTGCAGACGGGATAAGGAGGAGAAGAATTGTTTAATAAAGTCATTATTTTTGTTTTCTTTGCACACAAAAAGTATTCTCGTAGCTTCGTAAAATGACGGTTGAACCCCTGATGTCACATGGATTAGCCTATTTTACCGATGTCCTTGCTACGTTTCTGGACCTGGGAACATTGCAGTTGTGTTGCTGTCTATGGAGGGTCTGAGAGCTCTCGGATTCTATCAAAAATATCTTAATTTGTGTTCCGAAGATGAACGAAGGTCTTACGTGAACATGTTTGGAACAACATGAGGGTGAGTAATTAATGACAGAATTTTCATTTTTGGGTGAACTATCCCTTTAAAATATGTTCAACTGGTTCTGATTAAATTTTGATTTGCTGCATATTTTTATTACAAACATGCTGCCTAAAAAAAAAAAAGTGGAAAAGAGATTTAAAATGTCCTTCCTCAGTTTTAATAACTACAGACCAATACCCTTGAAGCTAGGGCTGCACGATAAATCGAAATGGAATCGAGATCGCGATTCGACAGAAGCTGCGATTGTCATGCGTATCTTTCAGTGAAGCACGGTTCTGTGATCAGCAGTAAATCTCCATCCATAGGCCAGAGGGCGCTCTCGCGCTGAAACTCCAAATACGCCTCGCAGAAGAAACCCAGGAAATGCCTATTGCTGCAGCTGAATAAACAGAAGATTCAACTGCTTTCATTAATTCAACGTGACTAATAAACACACGACTACGGCAATATACGGTTTATCTGAGTTCTTATTATAATTTTCATTAAAATGAAGTATATTTATAATGCAATGCCTTTATCACTGCTTAGATACTATGAAATATGTTGCGTGCCTTATTCTGTGTAAGAAGCCACATCATCTCACAGAAGGATTTATTTCAAACACTCGACTGACGTTATGAAGTGAGTTTGGTGTAAAAATATGTTATTAAATGTGGTATTTTCACATGCTTTCAGATGGAGCAGCATTTACTTCACAGAGCCGTAGTTCACTGAGAAGCTATGCATCTGCGATTTTTTTTGCGTAACTTGTCAGTGAACTACAGCTACGTGTAGTAAATTCTGCTCCATCTGAAAGCACGTGATGATGGTTTCCTGCTGATTACAGAACCGGCTTTACTAACAAAATGCGCATAACAATCGCATTCGATTAATCGTGCAGCCCTACTTGAAGCATTAAAATGCTAATTTATTGATATTTGTATGTTCAGTTTATCAAAACTAATCTGTTCATGAGAGTTGTTTAATAAGAAAGCCACTTCTGAGTTTGTTGTCCTAAGGACATATTTTAAAAATACAGAAGCTTAAACACATTGGACAGTGATGAGCTATTTTTGGGACTAAACACATTTAGGAAAAAATCTTTCTGAATATACGCAACATCCCAAAGCAATACTGGCTGCTCTGCCTGCACTTTATTCTCACAAATTTGACCAAAATCACTGACTGCAGTGCAAACTATTTACATGCTAACAAAAGAGTAATTAATATACAACCACGCCATTTAACATAAGTAACCTGAGTGTTGACATCACTAATAAGGAAGGGAAAATCTACATCCTGAGGTCCTGGGGTGGATCAAGAGACATCTTATAAGCTTTCAACGGGATAATGCCATACAAAATGGAAGGTGTGTAAGTGGATACAATGAGTATTCAGCATCTTCAAGAAGGGCAAAAACAGGGTCAATGGCCATATGCAAATCAAGGCTCTGTTAAGGGGAGAGGAGTGGCACCAGCTGTCCGACAGACTGACCTTCACCACCTCCTTCATCATATATAGCACTGCGAGAATATGGCAGCCTGACACTACAACTTTGAACTCAGAAACTCAGTTTTGTGTCTTAAAATGTGGTAGGGTTCCTTGCAAGGTACATATGCACAAGCTAGACTTCAGAAAATAACAAGAAAAGATATGCTACATTGGCGGATTAAAAATCAAATCCCAGCTGTGAAAAAGCAATAAAAAAACAAGAAATATTACTTTAACTTCTTGAACGCTGTGCTACATGAAGCTGTGCAGTGATTACGCACTGGAATGGGCCTCTGGTTTGTCAGATCTGAAATCTAAGGGGAAAAACTAAGGGCCTCAAACAAAATGGATATTTTGCTGGTTGGAACAGCATGTCAGCCTCAGCCAAGAAAGCACATCTAATCTCTGAAGTTTTTTAACTGAGCAGTATCCTGGGATTTTATTAAATGAGCTAAAACTCGTTCCTTAGTGTAAAGTTGTAAGGAAGCTGTCAAAAGTGTAATGAGTAAAAAATTTGCAATTAAAATCTACTGTTGCGCTCACTGAGCCACTATGTGTCTGGTTTACACACTGAGAAGAAATATTCAAACAGGCCTATGAAGCCCAAAAAATTATATTTGAATGGGCAAATTGTGCTCAGACAGTCTGATTTCCGTGAATCGGTTCTTTCGAACAGCTCGTTTCAATTAACTGGTTCACAAAATGATTCAGCGGTTCATTATCATGTGGCATCGTACAGTATATTATTAATCATTATTATTTCATATTATAAATAATTATTATTCCGTATGATAAATAAGTTAGTTTATTGTAAATGCGTGTGTCCATGTTCCGTTTTAATTAATTATAAGGTGCCTTTGCATGAAACATTACTCAACTGTATTTACATATCTCTATTGAAAGATTTCGCTTGTTTTAATAGAACTGAATGCATTTCAATCTCCGAAAGAGGGGATTCTTACGAGTTTTGACATTTTTATATAAGTCATTACGAAATGAACAAGTTCGCAATGGTGTTCGGTCAAATGACTTGGCATGTTGTCCGATTCGCATTGACCCTGAGATGAGTCGTTGACTCAAGAACCGCTCGAACCGATTCGTTGAAGGAATTGTTCAGAACAGTTTTGAGAACAGGTTCAACCGATTCACTGAAAAGATCCGACTTAAAATAACGATTCATTCACGAATCGGTTATCGATGTAGAACGTGCCAATGAAGACCAAAAATTCCATTCACTCGCGTCTATGATGCCCAAAAATTCTGTCTGGGTAGACAGCTAATCTTAGCTAGCTTTTAAAACACAACCAACCAGATTAATGGCATAAGGACAGCGCTTCTCAGATCCAAGATGTGGACTTCACAGTTTTCATTGTAACACGAGTACAGCATAATTACACTTCACATATATACGTTAAACTCATACAATTTACGTGTAAATAAGACACGAGGCCGCACGCACAGCCCTTAACAACAGCAACCAAACAGCCATACTCTAAACAAAGACGTGTAAAACAACCATACAACATCGACATAGCGATTTTACACTCTAAACAAAGACGTGTAAAACAACCATAAAACATCGACATAGCGATTTTATCAGTGTAGTAACTACCTAGCTAACATATCGTGCAATCCGTGGAGTTCAATGTTCCAGTTTAAAAAAACAAAGCTACTTACTCTAGGTGAACAGAAGCAGAACGCCACAGCGCACGTTCCCAATCCGTCCCGTCTTCCTCTTTAATCTTTAAAGAGACACTATTTGCGCATTTTCTTGGGTTTTAAAAGACTATTCACATCGGCATGCATCATCTCTATCGACACAGATTGGGTCCCGATCGGTGCGTTCACGCCACAGCGCCTGAAATCCCGCAGAAAGGGAACTAGCAGTGTGTTGTTGTGTATTGGGATGAATCAATGAACAGAAGCAGAACGCCACAGCGCACGTTCCCAATCCGTCCCGTCTTCCTCTTTAATCTTTAAAGAGACACTATTTGCGCATTTTCTTGGGTTTTAAAAGACTATTCACATCGGCATGCATCATCTCTATCGACACAGATTGGGTCCCGATCGGTGCGTTCACGCCGCAGCGCCTGAAATCCCGCAGAAAGGGAACTAGCAGTGTGTTGTTGTGTATTGGGATGAATCAGAGATGGGAAAAAATCTGTCACAGCCAGAATCTGTGTGTGAGGGAACAAAGAGCCACACAGCCGCCTAGTGGACAGAGAGCGGAATTACACCAGCTGAGTCCAAATGAAAGACGTCCAGGTGGCTGGGAAATGTTTGAGAAAATGAACATGAATATAATTATTTATTTCTAAGGAAGAAAAATATAAGAATAAAATAAGAATGAATAAGTCTGCGTGACAGTTTACGTGTAATTCAATTAAAGGGATATTTCATCCCAAAATTAAAATTCTGTCATAATTTACCCACCCTCATGTTGTACAAAACCTTAATCCTTCTGCTTCTTAACACAGTTGCTGGTACTCAGTGACTTGTGTATTTTTTTATACTATGGAAGCCAATGGCTACCAGCAGTCTTTAAAATATCTTACAGAAAATATTCATACAGGGCTGAAACAACATGAGGGTGAGAACGATGACAGAAATGTCATTTTTGGGTCCCTTTAAATCTATAAATTAATTGCCTGTACATTTCATGAAAGTATATTATTTACAAAAATTGTGTATGTATTGCCTACATATCTGTTTGAAAATGAAAATATTTTGTAAATGCCAATTTATTAAAAAAATAAAACTATTACATCAAGACTAATAAATATTTTTACGCGTTTTTATTGTACTTCTTCAAAAGCATATAATTTCCAAACAATAAGTATACTTAAAATGTTATATATGTTATACTGTATTTACAAATAAGCGATTATCTGCATTATAATTCTTTAAAAAAAAGACAAGGATATAGAGCATTTAATTGTAGATTATAACTTGCCCTTATCCTGAATTTCCCAACATGATCTTAGTATAATTTACCTTTAGTAAAACTGTTTAAAATTGCTATCTATCAAGAATAATAATCTAAGAATAATTCTAAAAACACTGCAAGTTTATCAAAATTTTGATCAGCATTTTGTAAAATGGAACCTGGACTTACATTAACTGCAAGTGAAAACCCAGTTTATACACCACCACCATCATCATCATTATTGCTCATGGCATTAGCAGACACGATATGAGAATTATATTTTGTCATTGTGTATAGTAACATCCACAAATACTCAACGAGTTGATGGATAGATTTAAATCTGTATGACATTCACTCAAGATAAACAAGACACATGAAAGGTCTTATATGCATCAATCATTGCTTATACGGTCAGATGCCTAATGCATGCCCTTATGTATTCATTTTCATGAACTTTTAAGACTGGAAAGAAGTCCAGTCTTCAGAGTCACATGATCCGTGAGAAATCAAACTAATGTGCTTTTTTGTTACTCAAGAAACATTTCTTACTACGATCAATGCTGGAAACAGTTATTTGATGAATAGAAAGTCTAAAAAAAGCAGCATTTATTTTAAATCTATCATTTGACAAAAGCAAAATTCCCTGCAAAGCATTGAGAGAATGAGGCGAATCATACATGACAGTTTTCTTTTATTTAGACAACCCAAATAAAAGGCACATAAAACATTGCGCAATGTGTTTACATAATTATTCTTGACATACATTAAAAACAAAAAATGTAGGAATGTTTTTACCTTTCTGCTAACCAAAAAAAGCCTAGTCTTCATATATATACAAAATTACCAATGTTAATGTTCTAATACAAAAAGTCTTATAAAAGGTTATTTTACTTGTGTTTTTCCTTGCATGTGTCTATCGTAACTACCACATTCTCTGAGCTAAATGTTTTTGTACAAAGATATACATTCATTGGCCTTCACATGGGTTTGCCAATTTAATCAAAAGGACATGAACGGACTGGACTCATTTTAAACTCTCCAATCCAAAACCGAACACCAAGTCTTTTCTTGTTTTTGCCCCATTAATGTTCTTTAAAAGATAATGATGCATAAGGAGTAACTTCATGAGCAATACTTTATAGGATATAAAAAAAAATAACAAATTCCTCAAACATGGCAACTTGATATTTCATATGCAAAATAGATTCTAAATCTCCACACACATTTGGTAAACAGTTAAACTGCAGTTGGCCGCCCAGGCAGTTTCCATCGCTGAGCACTGCTCGTCTTATCAGAGAGAAGACTGATGTGTTTCACGGTGGCATTTTCAGACATGCAGTTCAGGCACGGAAGTGACGCCATTGTGGAAGGACAAACATTTAAATCACAAGCACAATTAAAAACCCTTTCGTTTGTTTTTTCTTTTGTTGTAGTGTTTTTTTCAGTCACATTCCTCAAATTCCAGTTCTCAGTCGTAATAATCCGCCTCTACCGAAGGCAACATTTAAAAACAAACAAAACGAAAACGTATAACAGGCCATTAAACGATTTTTGCTTTCACATCCCTACATGTAAGTCCATGTAATACTAACTTAAGACCACAAATGCTTTGCTACCAGGTCAACGCTGGTTGGGAAACACTGGGGGTGCGAGTTAACACAAACTAAACCTTCTTCCGGCGATTTACGCTGAGGCGGTGGTAGCTATGACATCATCATTTAAAGTATGATCACATTCAGCTGGTTGTACTCTTTGTTTGAGACTCATTCACATCACACAAGTGCGCACAACCCTGGTTTAGAGGGCCACGTGTGACTACATACCTTGCATCGGTTTCCACATATCATAACATGAAACGGGTACGACAGCTGTCCGGCTCGGTCAAAAGGAGGACTGAAAAAAGGCATATTGCTTATTATATCCAACAGGGAAAGGAAAATCAAAGAGAATAACTAGTTTGGGGATATCTGCGCAAGCCGATTTTATCTGTTATTTTTAAGCAGGGTTACTCCAAACAATATGACAAACCCTGAAAATTTGAAGGCAATTTTGGTTTTTACTGTGACTGGGGTAAACGAACAAGCAACAGAGGTTAACTTTATGCTCCTGTGACGGACGATCACGTCAACGGCTGAAGAGTATATGGCACCTCGACCTCTGAGGTACGTCTGTTTTCGCCAATAAAGGGAACTATGTTTAGTGTGTTAATTGCGTAGAAAATTAGGTCTGGAAGAAAGCGTTATGCGCGATTCTGTCCATAACAGGAGCAGAGTAAGTTGGGACACCCTCAGCAAATTTCCTGAGCAAAAGGTCCTAACACCGTATCTACACCGGACGCGACGTTTGTCGTGTCGCGCCGCAACAGCTAAAGTCTGTCTGTACTGGACGCGACAAAGAGACCGTTGAAAATCATTTGAAATTTGTGTCAGTACGTCATAAATAGAACTCAGCAGCAGTTTACTGTCGGGAATTTGTCGCGCCGCATCCAGTGTAGACAGCATAATAGGTTCTATTGTATTTTGTCGCGTCGCGCCGCGCCACTCGCGTCCGGTGTAGACACGGTGTGAGGAAAAACAGCCCTCGTCCTTTGGAAAGGAAGAGCAAAAACGTCACGGTTACAAAACTAAATGCTCTTAAGAATAATAATGGACCTTTCAGTGTTGAAGTCGGCCACTTGGTGACCAGGCATCTATGCGAACACTCAAAATATTTGATCTAAAATAATACTGCCATCAGAATAATCACCGAAGAGAGATGTGTTCAGTGCAAGATTGTAACTGTTAATGTTCAACCCCACTAAGCAGAAGAATATAGAGTATTGTCTCCAAAAAAAAAAAAAAAAACCCTCTCATCTTCCATTAATGGAAGCCACTGTCCCTTTTGTTGTACGTGACTCATTAATATGCATAAAACTATGAAATACTGATAAGCAAGCTAATGTAACAAAAATAAAATCCTCACAGTTAATATTTGCCAAAGTCCTTAAACCGTTAACACTAACAATGAAGCGCTCCGCTTCAAACAGCCGACTGGCAAGGATCTCCTGGCACTAGAAAAGTGAAATCACCAAACATACAGCATGTCAGTCTTCCACTCCATGCAATAACTATTTTTTCTGTCCGTCACTAAACTCTAGACAATCTCTCAGCGGAGCGAAAGAGACGCAAAGTGCCAGCTAACATCGCATGATTCCTTGCCGCTGCGGACTGCCATTTTCCTATACTCGCCATTCCTCCAGGCTCTTTTTTTCCCTCACATCTGGAGAGGAAGACTAAAACGGGAGACATGAGGTTTACTAGGAGAAGGCGGGTGGGATGTTGGGTTCTACCAGGGCGGAGTGGAAGGCAGGACCTGCGAGAGGAAAGACATGCTTTCCATTGGCCTCATGGCGATGTTGAGTGGACCGGTGATGTTCATTGACATGGGCGAGGTTATGGCGACGGGATGGCCGATGTTCATGGCCGCCGTAGCTGGGATGTTGACCGAGGCGATGTTGACAGGACCAGTGATGGTGACTGGATGCTGAAGGCTGACGGGGGAGGTGATGTTGACCGTGTTGGAGGTGATGTTCATCTGGGCGGCGATGGTGACGGGGATGCTGGCAAGGCCGCGGTTCATGGCCGTAGTGTTGGATGCGGTTGAAGCAGTGACTGGTGTGACTGAGGCAGAGTTGCACACGTTGTTAGAGTCTGACCGGAAAAAGTAAAAAAGGAAAGAGTGAATAAAACACTGGGGTGATTTCTAGGGTTCATTAATAAAGATGGCCAATGGTTAGTGTGAGAGTTTCAGGCGAGTAGCTGTCTTGTCACTGAATATTTTAAATTTATCGATCTTATACATCTATTTTTACATTCGGTTTACTGCAATGTATTCCACATTGCTGTTGAAAATTTGTCACCAACATAATTTTTTGGCTAAAAATTTAAAACTGGCTAGATTGTCAAAAATTACTTGTGATGGTCTTGAAAGTATCAGTAAAACCTACAAACCAATGC